ACCGAGCTTCAGGGCCACGCAGTCTGAGCAGAGCTGACAGGAACAGGCTCACTGGGAGCTGGAAATAAAACCCCCCTCTCCAGCCAACTGCTTGCTGGGTGTGTCGGAGTATCCTTAGTTATCCAAATACGAGTTATTGAAATTCAGAAAATATGGTGGCTACAAAGCAAGTCTGCTATTGACCAAAAATGGAGCGTTGGGCAGGATGAGGGTCACGGGGGGGGATTCACATTCTCATGGAGACAGTTCCACAGGGACGTGTAACATTGTGCTTAAAAAGTCCACCGAGCTCTAAGGGCTTTAAGATTAAAAAAAAACAAAAAACAGTTCTTTGTGGCCTGGGCCACTCTGCTCTCTAGCTGTGGTGCCAGATCTTTTTAGCGCTTCTGCAAAATTTATATGGAAAGTCAGGGATGATCTAAAGTGAAGTTCTGCTCTCTTGTTCAAATAAACTCTTAGTTTGTCTGGAAGCTCCGTATAGAGCAGTGCGACCGTTGTGTTCCAAGGGGGAGCCAGCAAGAGACCCCTGAGGACCCCTGAAGCCCACAGTTGGGGAGGCCACCACTGCAAAGAAAAGCAGCCTCGATTCCCAGCACAGAACAGGGTGCAAAGGGGGGGCCCAGGCTCAGCCCCGGGGCTTAGACTCCCCGGCTCCGAAGCCCCCTCTGTTCCCTCTAGGTGGGGTTGTCACTCTCAGAGGGTGCAGAGGGTGGAGGGTGGGGGGTGAGCTGTGAGGGGCAGGCGGCAGGCACTGCAGACCCAGTGTTTCAGTGTCTGAGCTGTGACTGCCATAAATGTGGGGACCCTGCTTCCACCCGGCGGGAACCCTGCAGACTCCACATCCACGGTGAAGCTGCACCAGACGGCCCCCAGCCTGGGACAGCCTCAGTGACGGCGTTTCCCTCCCCTTGCTCCGGCAGAAACAGGAGAAGACACCCGACAGGTCCTCGATGCTGGAGGTGGAGAAGCGGGTATGTGTCTCTCCCCCTGTCTTCTCCGCTTTTCAAGTCTCTGACTTTGTTGTTTGTGCCAATGGAAAAAGCTCGTCTCAGAGGCAGGAGTTTACCACATTCCATTCCTAGCTCGATCATAAATTCTTTCTGTCTGACTCTGGACAGCAGCTCGATTGCTCGTCCTTTGGCTTCATCAGACGGTCAGTACTTTCCCCATATTCCAGTGTTGGGGGGCAGGGTCCTCAGAGGGCCACTGTGCTGCCTGTAGGCAGAACTGCCCATGCATATGTGCGCACATGCACACGCTCACAGACACGTGTGCACACATGCACATACATACGCACACATATGCACATGCTCACATGCACACAGATATGCATACACTATACCACGCACAGCAGGCCCAGGCTCTTCCCTCCCACCACCTGGAACAGAAGGGAGCTCCCAGCAGGACCCTCTGCCACTAGTCCAGGTCTTGTGCCTTGAGATGTGAGCTGGCAGAGCCTCCTCGCGCTGACTGCGGGAGGATTTCTGGTTCAATTGCTGACTTCCCAACTGCATGCAGAATGTTTTTCTGGAATTTGACATTCTTGGATGAGGGAGACACGGGTTTATTAATGAGCCCTAGCTTTGGTTGACTCTGGGGCACATGTTCCCATCTCCTGTTTAACATGGAAGACAGCTGGCTTTCATGATGCATTCATCCCCTCAGCCTGTTGCAGAACATAATTGGTATCTCATCTAATCACAGAGCCTCACTGGCCCAGGTGGAATCCTTGCTGGATTTGGGGGTTGGACGGGTTTCGCAGATAATGGTGTTAGCTCAGCCTCTGTCCCCAGGTGACAAGTGACTCCCAAGGAACTGGGGGACCTATGCCTGTTTGAGCAAGGATTCTGATCACCTGGCATCATTCAAAACCCCAGGCGGAGCTCAGTGGGCCCTGGTGGTGGTCCCTTTGCTGCTAGTTGTCTGGTAGGAGGTGCAGAGAGTGCAACTTCTGTCAGTGAAGCAGGACAGGTAGCTCTCACGCCCCCTCTGTGCAGTTTGGCTGAGTCTTGACCCTGCCAGCTAAGAGGCAGCCTTTGGACTCCATGCTAAACCCACACCATTGTCTCTTAACAGGAGAGGCGTGCCCTGGAGCGGAAGATGTCAGAGATGGAGGAGGAGATGAAGGTAGGGGGAGGTCTCCCTTCTCTGTGCACCCCCAGGACTGAGCCCTTGAGCACAGGCCCCTCTGGGAGCAACGCTGCTTTGGTTTAAGGGGATGCTGGAGACAGACCTGGGTTAAACTGTTACAGTTTCCCAGGGTTGAACTGTTACAGTTTGCCAGGCACTGGGTTGACCTGTTACAGTTTCAGGGGCTGGGTGGACAGGCTCCCTGGGCCTCAGGTAGGTGCCGCTCGCCCCTCCTGGCGCAGCCCTGGTGGGAAGAGCCAGCCTGAGCTATGCTGCAGCAGAGTCAAGATTTATTCACACCCCTGTTTGCTGCCCGTTTGTCTCCCCTGAAACACTCAGTAATATTTGGTGCGGTCTTAAGATAGTCAGCCAAGGCCACAGGCATGCTTCAGGGCTCGCTGTTCCCTCCCGCCCTGTGAACTGCAGTGATGCATAGCTGCTCTCCAGGCTGTGGAAGGGGCCGTGGAGCTGCCGGGGCTGCCTGGGTGGCTGGGAGACCTGCCCTGCCATGCATGACGCCACAGCCCGCAGCCGCTTAGCACGGCTCAGCTTCCCTTCTTTCCCTGAGGGTCTTTCACTGGGACACACAGGAGGCAGAGGCCGATCCCAGGCCCTGTACAGGTGTCCCTGCCGTGCGAGTAGAGAGATGCCTGTTCCACTGGTCTCGGAACGTTGGTTATTAACTGAAAAGGCTTTTCAGGGACTGACAGGGTCTATACTTTCTTTAGAGGCAAAAACTGATGCTACACAGGTACAAGCATCACAAGTTGGTGTGACTGCCCTGAGGTCTGAGAAGGCCTCAGTTAGCGGTCAAGCTCTTCACGCAGACTCCGTGTGGTGAGCAACGGCCAGAGTCTGGGTCCCATCCAGGCAGGACCTGGTCGAGCTGAGCGCCCCGTCTTGTGCTTGTCGCACGTTCAGGTACACAGATGCTCAGGTCCTCAGAGCGCCGGCTAGAGCAGGTGCAGGGCCCACCTCCATGATCCCTCAGGTAGCAGGTGTCATCGACAGGAAGTGTCCCCGGTGCCTGTTCAGGTGGGACGGAGGCCACAAGGTGTGTGGGCTCTGGTGGTGTGTGGTCTGCCTGCCCTGACTCCTGGTCCAGGGCGGGCACAGGGCATCGTGCTGGCTCTGGCGGACGTGTGCAGGCTGCTCTCTTCTGGGGATGTGCCCAGGTCAGGCTGGTCACCGCGGCTGCAGCCTCAGAAGCACCAGCCCTCCCAGGTCTTGTGTGAGGGCCAGCAGCAGCCCTGCTGAATTGGTCGTGGTTCACTGTTTCCTCTGGAAACACACCCTGCAAGATACTGCCCTGGTCCCCCTCACCTGTTCCCCAGCCTGTGCAGGGCCTGTCCCTCTGGGACGTTCCACCAGACAGCTCCTGCCTGGCTGCTCCTGCGGAGACCCCCCTTCCCCCACCGTCGTGTGCCTGGGAGGCGGGCCCCACGTCTACACCTCCCCGCTCTCCCCTGGAGGCGGGGCCCTCACCAGAGCTTTGATCAGCCCCGGAGGAGGGCGGAGCCAGGGGCTTTCTGTTGGTTCTTCGTGTGGTCCCCGCCCGTCGGCCAGGCGTTCCCATGTGTGCCCAGGACCCGGCTCTGCTCTCCACGGCCAGGAGGAGGGCTGCCTGGTCCCTGCCCCTCAGTGGCGACTCGGAACTGCTCAGCGCCCGACCTTCCTCTAAGCGGGTCGCCCCCGTCCTTGGGGACAGAGTCGGCGTTTTGTCTCTGCCTGTTCTTCCTTTTCTCTGTCCTCTCCATGCCACCTTCGTCTCCCGCTCGTCGCCTGATGGCTGTCACCCTCCCCTCCCCTTTCCTCGTCCAGACACTTCTGTGTGGTCCTGGCAGCCGCCTGTGGCCACTACAGCCCACAGGTTCTCTGCATCCACGAAGCCCATCCACATCCCAGGCTGTTCTCTGAGGACAGGCAGCAGGGACGGGCCCTTCGCCAGTGTCCCGGGGGGTGCCGGGGGGCCAGGCGCAGGAACAGCCGCAGGGCTGGTTCCCCTGGGCCGTTTGCACCGACTACAGTATCGGTTCAGCCCTCGCGTGTCACTGACGTGGGTCATTCTCCAGCGTCCCTGTGAGCCGGGCGGGGCCCAGGACGCCGTGGACTCTGCAGGACAGACAGTCGCAGTGCAGGTCGGGGGGCTACAGCCCCCGCTTCCTGGAGCAGTGACCTTCCCCCAGCAGGTCAGAAAACCATCCACTCCAACTGCTAACAGCCACGCCTTGCCCAGGAGATCCTTACACAACAGCCCCTCTTTTACTTTCAAAGACAAAAAAATTAATGAGGTAAAGACAGACCCAGAAAGAAAAGGAGGAGAAACCCCCGTTGGGGGGAGGGGGAGGGTACGAGCAGTGTCACGGCCACATCGGGACACCCCGAGTCCTCAGGTCCAGCCCCAGGTGGTAGAGGGTCCCGGGGCTGCTGCTCGACCACGAGAACTCAGCTCAGAGCCCCCACAGGCCCAGCCACTTGGGGGGCTGTCACCCCAAAAGCAGGCAGACATGCTCCGGAGGTGGAGCTGTGCGCATGGCTGACCTTTGCGGGAATGGGACGCCCGGCTGGCGCTCTCCCACCCCCATTGCTCCTCTCGCTTCCTCTCGCATGCGAACTAAAACTAACCAGAGCCACGTGTCTCTCTGCCCTGCTCTCATCTCCTGGTCTGTCTGTCTGTCTCTCTCTCTCTGTCCGTCCCTCCGTATTCCGCTGCAGAACCTCCACCAGCTAAAACAGATCCAAACCCTGAAGCAGATGAATGAGCAGCTGCAGGCTGAGAACAGGGCCCTGGCCCGCGTGGTGGCCCGGCTCTCGGCGTCCATGGAGTCCTCGCAGTCCCAGGAGCTCTAGCTCCCTCCTCCACCTCACTTCCCTCCTCCACCTCCGCAGGCAGGTTCACTCTCCTTGTCGCTTCCAGCAGCTCTGGGCTCAGCGCACCGAGCCCCCCGTGTCAGGTGCTGTCAAGGTTGGTCGTCGAGATGGAAGGAGCCAGGACAGGCCTCGGAGTGGGACACACCTGGGTCAGGGAGGGGGCCTGCAGGCTGGAGGTCTGCTTGATCTGGCCTGACGTGGACATGCCCCGGGCTACACACAGGTGTGCCCCTACCTGTGCGGGGTCACTGCCACACTGAGGTTGCGCTTGCTTCGTTCACCAGGTGCAGCCTGGTCCCAGAGCAGTTGGGGGTTGAGTGTGAGGGGTAACCAAGGGCACAGGCTCACAGTGTATCAGTGCCTGGGCCCACCCCCCCAAGGAATGAGTCTGGGTGGAGACCCCAAGCTTTCTGTTGCTGCTTCTGTGAAACCAGGTTGAGAACCATGGCCTTTTGGGACCACACAGAGCCAGCTCCTCAGGTCTGACCTCATGCCAGATGGGGGGCCGACCTGAAGACCCAAGCGGCTGTGGCCCAGTGCCTCTGCCAGCAAAGCCATCTGCAGCCTAGGCCGGGGTAGAGGTGGATGCACTCTGCCTCCCTCCCGTGTGGTCTCCCTTTCTCCCTCCTGAGAGGCATTGCTCTCACCCATCTCACACCTCAGGGCTGGCGTTGTCCCCGGCCCCAGCTTGTGGCTGTGGGGCAGAGCTATGGCCAGCTTTGCAGAGATGGAGGTGGGATTTATTTCCTACTGAGAACCAAGTGAGTCTGGTAAACTGAGCCTCTCCCTGGTTGTGAGTCTGAAAACCGAGCCCACAGGTGGTGTGCCCTCCCATCCAGAGGCTGTGAGGGTCACCACTGCTGAGCAGTGTTGGTCTCAGGAGTCCTGCCCAGGGCCTGAGCCACCTCTGCCTGTTTACCATGCCTTCTGGTCGGCAGCGGGCAACTGATACCCACTTGGTTGGTGCCCTTGGCACAGAGAGCACTGAGTTACCACCGACGCCGCTCTTCATTCAGCCTCGAGGCTCCTGGGAACTTGGGTTGAGTGGTTGGGGCCCACAGGTTCCTCAGTTATTGTCAGTGTCCCTCTTTCAGCAGGATAGTGTGGCATGTGGCCAAAACCTGCGCTCAGTGGCTGGTAACCGTGGTGATGGTAACCATGGTGACTGCCGTGTGTTAAGGCCTGGTCCGGTGCTTTTCCTCACTTGTTGCCCAGAACAGTCATTTTACAGACGAAAAAGCGTCGCTCAGAGTAAGTGGTGGAATGAAAATCCAAACCAAGTGTGTCGGGTCCAGAGCCCCCGCCCTGACCCAGTGGGGTGTAACTGGCCGCACTGTCCCCACACTGTCCCCAGCAAGGGCCAGAGGGCAGCTCTGCTTCCTCAGTACTGACCCCTGGGGAAGGTTAACCTCCAGAGAGCCATTTACCTGCGGGAGGGCTCTGCCTGGCCCATGGTCTCCTCAGGTCTGTGACTCGCCCACCAGGATGGCCCATGAGCCATACAAATATAATTCCAGAAAATGGAAAGGATATTCCAAGACACGTGAAAATTATATGGAATCAAATTTCAGTTTCCAAAAATAAAGCTTTATTGGAGCTGAGGTGTGCTGGCTTTACATGTGATTGTCACACATGGGGGGCATGGCAAGGGGGTGGCCGCTGAGCCAGCACCACCAACCTGCGCTGATCACGCCCAGCCCTGTGCAGAGGAAACTTGCAACGGGAGGAAAGGTGTGGAAACTAAGCCAGTGTGGTCAGGACAGGCACCCTGCCATTTGGGTTTTGCGTTTTCTTTAATCCCCTGGAGAAAACGGCCGTCTCAGTGTGCAGTGCAGCCACTGGGCCCCCCACCTGCTGGGCAGGCCCCCGAGTCCCTGTCCCTGCAGCTTCGGGACCCTGTCTCCTCCTCACTAACACATTGCTCATCAGAGGCTGTGAGGAGTAATAGTTGAGAAAACGTACTCAACTCTATTTCTCCAAGATACCACATTGAACTGGTAAGCTGGAAATTTAGAAATTAGGAGAGTGGACGTCCAGGGAGCTGACATGACAGAGTTTCACTCACCCAGCACAGTGTCGCGCCTTCAGGTTCTTACCCAGTCGCTCCACTGAGGTGAGGTCGGTGACCTCACTTGTCCTGTGTCCTGCCTCCTCCAGGTGTCCGTGCAGCCGGGAAGTCGCCTTGTTCAGTTTTTTGTTATTTTTCAAAGAATTGAGTTATTGATGCCACGAGTAGTTTGTACATTTTTAAAAGGGGATGGAGTCCTGGCTGTTATGGCTCAGTTGGTCTTGGGCACCAACAGGCCACGGGTTCGATTCCTGGTCGGGAGGCAACAGATCAATGTTTTTCTGTCTCCCTCTCCCTTCCTCTCACTAGAATCAGTGAAAAGTTTATCCTGGGGTGAGGATTTTTTTTTAAAAAGGTGGGGGGATGGAGCAGCTCAGACCTGATTCGATGAAATGCAGCCCACTGCCTGTGTGGCCCCTGCAGGCCCGGGCGGGTGGCGCTGGGGCGTCCAGGTGGGTGCTCAGTTCTGGTGGTCAGGCCCCGTGATGGAGGCAGGAAGGCAGGTCAAAGGACAAACTTCATTTGGCATTTTCTGGATTAAGTTCTTGAAGAGCTGATGGTGAAGCAGGAGCTGTGAGCGCCGTATGGCCTGCAGGTCAGACACGTGGTCGCCCGTCACTGCCTGTGGGCCCCAGGGTCCCCTCTCTGGGCGGGATGAGGGCATGGGCTGTTCTGCTTTGGAGACCCAGGAAGCCGAGTGGTGCAGCGCTACAGAGCATCGGCGATGAGGCCCGGGGTTCAGCTTCTGCACCTCTGGGGTTGTGTCCCATCCCCTCCAGGCCACCTCTGTAAGGGTGAGTGTGGCCTTTTGAGTCACACACGCGGGGCCAGCATCAGGTGTGAGCAGCCGGGCGCCTTGGCAGATGTGCCGGTTCTCATTCTGTTTGTACCTCATGGGACTGTGGAGTGAGCGTCCGCACAGCACGTTCGGTGATGTCCACTTTGTTCCCTGGACACAGCCTGACGTGTCTGTAACACCCCTGGCTGTGCGGTTTCCCCACGTCCCCCATGGGAGGTGCAGGGGCTGTGGCCTCCCTGAAAGGCCCCTCCACTGGCCCTGCGAGGGCACCCACCCCTGGGAACAGGGTGGCAGCCGTCCCCGACACAGGCTGTCCCTGAGGCCTGCTCCCCGGGCTGCCTGGCTTTGTCACCTCAGGCTGTGACATCCCTTCCCGCTCTCACCCTACAGGTGTTGACAGAACTGAAGTCTGACAACCAGCGGCTAAAAGATGAAAACGGTGCCCTCATCAGAGTCATCAGCAAACTGTCCAAGTAGCCACGGCCACGATGGAGGGGGCCGGGCCAGGTCTGCTGGCCCCCCACCGTCACCTTCCCGCCAGAGACAGCGTGTGGGGGAAGGTCACTTGTCCCCGCCCCTCCTGCAGTCACCTGCTCTGCACCTCTGCACCCTCCGTGTCCATCCTCCACCCGCGCTGGGTCCTGTTGCGGTTCTCACGGAAGCCTGGCTGCCACATTCGCGCCACGGGAAGGCCCGGCTGTGCCCTGCTCGGCTGCGGGCCACAGGCTGCTCAGCTGCCGGTCCTCACTGGACCCTCGACCAACCAGAGCTTTGCGGCGTCCACTGCAGGATGCTGTGTGGACACCAGAGAGACAGCAGGCGTCGTGGGAGCATTCGTCACAGCCTGTGGGTGTTTCTGTTAGGTCCCGGGGGACGTGAGTGCACTGAGGGTCCCCGCTAGTTGTCACCTCTCAGGACCTGGCTTTCCCGACTCCCTGCGGTGGCGGTTTTCTGTCTACAGCCCTGACTAGTCCTTGTACCCTCGCCCAGGGCTCGGGGGGGCCCCAGTTCCAAGTCCTGTCCTTCCTGTTTTCCTCTCCCTCGGCTCCGCCACCTCCCTGTACTGTTAACTCGAGACAGCACCCCTGCCCCTCCCTGAAGGGCACAAGCGTTGGCCTTCATTGTCATCTCCCCCTGTCCCCTGCATGGTGACTTTGTCAGAAGGGCCCCCTCCCTTCACCTTGTCCTGTTCGCTCTGGCCCCGGGCCCCAAGGAGAAATGATGTCACAGGGCAGATGGGTGGGAGGGACTG